ATAAGCTCCTTGGAAGTGAATTTGAGATGAAGGAACTGGGTGAGTTACAATACTTTCTTGGCATTGTGGTTGCTAGATCTAAACATGGCATATTTCTATCCCAAAGAAAGTATGTGTTAGATTTGTTGACAGAAACAGGAATGCTGGATTGCAAGCCAGCTGACACACCTATTGAACAGAATCACAAATTGGGAATGTATCCAGATCAAGCTCCTACTGATAAAGAAAGGTATCAAAGGTTAGTTGGGCGATTGATTTATCTATCCCACACACGCCCTGACATAGCTTATGCTGTGAGTATGGTAAGCCAATTCATGCATCAACCAAGTGAAGCTCACATGAATGGAGTAATACGGATAATGCGATACTTGAAGACTGCCCCTGGAAAAGGATTGATGTTCTCCAAACATACACACATGGATCTTGAAGGATACACTGATGCTGATTGGGCAGGGTGTATCACGGATAGACGTTCAACTTCTGGATATTTTACATTTGTGGGTGGTAACTTAGTTACTTGGAGGAGTAAGAAACAAAGAGTTGTAGCAAGATCCAGTGCTGAAGCCGAGTTTAGAGGAATGGCTCAAGGAGTATGTGAATTGCTTTGGTTGCGGAGATTACTAAAGAATCTTGGCATTAAACAAGTGAATGCCACAAACCTATATTGTGACAATAAAGCTGCCATCGAGATAGCACATAATCCAGTACAACACGACCGTACTAAACATGTGGAAGTCGATCGACACTTCATCAAAGAAAAATTGGAAAAAAAGATGATTAAGTTTCCGTTCGTAAACTCAGAAAATCAACTGGCTGATATTCTGACAAAGGCAGTGTCAAGTAGAGTTTTCAATGAGTCTATTGACAAGTTGGGCATGCGTGACATCTTTGCACCAACTTGAGGGGGAGTGTTAATTATGTAGTCAATTAATGTGTTGATTATGTAGTCAATTAATGTTTGGCACCTACTATGTTTGGCACCTACAATATTTGGGGGGCTTGACTAGGTTGGTTGCCTAACTAGGTTGGTTGCCTAACTTGGGGGGCTTAGGAACTTGTATATATATGTGTTGATTGTAAGTAATGTGAGATATAAGAAAGAATTCTAAAACCAGAAAATTATCTTCTCTCATTCTCACATTCTCATATTCTAGCTTATCTCTACACAAATCTCTACACTTTGTTTGGCAACATGCTAATCTAATGATTCCAGAGTAAAAAGTAGAATCCAACCACTTAATTAAACTACCCACATGCAAAACAAGAAGAAAAACAATTCAGATCAAACACTTTCCTCAAATGACACCAACCAGTAGTGACACAAAAAAACAACAGATTATAATGCAACTGCAAGCCCATTCCCAGATCTTTAATATTGACATATATGAAATCCACAGTAACTGAGTCAAAATGGTACTCCTTAACGATATGGCATGAAAATTAGAAAATACTATCAAGTAAATGAGCCAAGTTTCGACCCCACATTCATAACATTGTAGCAAATTCACAATCAGACCATTCATTGGGAAGAGCTAATTACCTTTACGTTGTTGATAAACATGAGTCGCTAAACCCCAGCTTGATGTGATTGCTGAGATGCCAGACCCGCCAGGAAAAAAGAAATCTTTAAAAAAAAAACGCCATTCATGTTTTCCAAAAATGGCCCGCCTAGGCGGGCTAGGCGGGGCTTTTTTATTTTTTTAATAATAAATAGTATGGCCGAGCGGCTATACTCCTTAAATAATATATTTAAACGTATAGCCGCCCGGCTATACTCTTTCTTTTAAAAAAATAAAAATTCCTGCCCAAGGTTCGTTCTTTCTTATGGAACGGATGTGCCTGGCTGCCAATCAGTGTTGTTGCCCAATCGCGACTTGTGTAAATTTCGATCAACACCTGTTTCTCACCTACGCTTTAGGTTCACTCTCTGGTTTAGGAACATGGCCAGAAACTTGCAATTAAAACTTAAAATCTAAGCTCAATATCCTAACATATCAACTCTGTTAAGAATGGAGTGCACTTAAAATCTAAGCTCCATACCCCAAACTCTGTCAAGGATGGGGTGCAACTTTTATTTCGCTTTGCCACCTCTCACCAAGAGCCACCTTTTTGTATGAATATATTGACAGGATTATTACACAATTAGGATGGGTCTAGATTGAGTCCAGATGATCTTGATCACATTTCAACCTTGTCACTTGAGCCAAAACTCACCAATCTCTCTTTGACAAAGAAGAAAAGGGTCGGGACGA